ATTTATTGTCTTATTATTTTTTCCATTTTTTCATTCAATGTAAACCTGAAAACAAGCAACATTCAGATTCCATGAAATGCACCTCTAACCAAAAGTAGGGGGATGTAATAGTAGTAAAATTAAGTGTTGAGAGTGGAGAAAGGGAAATGTCAGATTTTATTTGCCTCTTTCTTTTTTCTCTCTTTTTCTCTTTCATTTTCCTTGCTTGTTTTTAAGGTAAAGATTGTAGAAGGGCTAACAGTGACAAAAGCCCTTTTGTTGTAACAAATTATCCTTTACTTTTTCCTGGTTTTACCATTTTTCCTTTGTTGAAAGGATTCTTACTTCAGTAAGTAAGTTTTACTGACCAAGTGAAGTTGAATTGAAAATTGTCCATTGGACAGAATTGCTATTATTTAAATTGTTTTATCATAAATTCAGTTATTTACTGAAATAATTGTCATCTTCATCATCATCATTACCTTCATCATCATCAACTCAATAATTGTCTCCATTCAACTTGGATATTACTGAACCCATTGGATCGATCTGTGTTTGTTTCCAACACTTTACCTTCATAACTCCCATTAAATAAAATTAAAAATCAAACTTAACGGTTAAACGTTATTAACCTTTCAACTTTAACTGTCCCATCAAGCAAGCTTTTACATCTTATAGACTCTTTCGCTTGAAAGAAAAGACTTGACTTTTCAAAACCTGGAAAATTACATTTGAGTTTAGCAACAAATATCAAGTCGACAAGAACATTGACGAGTTTAACCAAAACCATAAAGATTCGAATCGCCCTGAAATCCAAAAAATCAACTTTCATTTTCATGAAATACAACTTTCTCGTTGAATCTCATTCCATCAAAACATAAAATAAGAGCTCAAAATTGTCATTCAGCGACGGAAATGCTTCAAAATTTTGTTGTTGTGCTTGTTCATGTAAAAATGAAATTCGTTAAAATCAATCAAAATGAGCAATAATTTTTCGAAAATCAGTTCAAGTATTGAAAGCTATCAATATCATCTCAATCAACTAAAAACGGTAAACATTAATCTAGCTCAAATGTAACCTTAATAATAGGAAGAAGCAGTTTTAATAAATTATTGGTCTGATCGGCCACTAAACACTTCACAAACATCAACCTCCAAAACCCTTTTCAAGCTTCAATCTTAATCTCTTTTCCTGTAAATATTACATTGTCTACCTTTTCCTCTTCGTTACTCCCCCTACTCCTCCTCCTCCTCATCCTTCGTCTTTTCTTCTTCTTTTCCACTATTCTCTTTGTCTTTCTTCCTTCCTCTTTTTTCACCTTCATTTCAATATCAACCTTGATTAGTCTTCTTTTCCTTGGCTAGTAGTCAACATTCAACTTTACCATGTTTATCTTTTTCTCCATCCTCCCCACTATCATCATAATTATCATCATCTTTCCATATCATCAGCTCATTTAACTCTTATCCTTCTCAATTGGTGTTTTCATCTTGAAAGGTAAATTACAGTTTATCAGGAAAAAGTGGCCAAAAGAAATGATGTTCATCTACTTTTCACAAAATCCCTCACACACTGAAACCAAATGGAAATAAGGCGCAAAAATGATCCACAAAAACACATTTTTCTTCCTTAAACAGTAAACCTTTCAATTGTTGATCATTTTTTTGTTTTGTTTTCAAAAAAACGAAGAAAAAGAAACAACTTATAATTGTTAACATTTTTCTCAGTCACATCTTTACCTCTACCTTTACCAACTAAAGAAAAACAACTCAAACTGTAAATCTAATTTATCATGATTATAGCCTGTGGTAAAAGTATAGTTCAACACATTGTAATCAAACCAATTTTCACCCTTGAAATATAAACGTAAAAATGAAATATTTACTCAATGAAATTGAACCAGAAAAGTCTAAACTTTTAGTTTTCAATTGAAAAATGTTTGTCAGTGTCACTACATTTCGATACAATAAAAGAGCAAAGATGGGAAACCGAATCGAGAAAAAATATTTTCACATTTTATTTTAGCTTTAGTCCAATTTGAACTGAAACGTTTATCTGTTCAAAGTCGAGTTTCTTTGGCAAACTAAAAGTTTCACTGCAACCAAGCACTTTATCCGTCGAAACAAGTTGTAAGAAGTTTCCATCGAAAACTTTTGTACATACAAATGTAAAAATTCGACTTTTTTGGATAACTTTAAAGTCATTTGATTATTTGTTCAGTTCGAAGTTTACTTTAGATCTTTCTTTGCATTTTTTCTTTTCTATTTTGATATTGGACTTTTAATTGTAAATTTTAAACTAAACTCTCGACTTGATCACGACTCAGCCTCTCAATGACTCGAAGTTGTGATGTAAAGATTTTACATGTTCATCAGTCGTTGAATTAGATGTGGAACTTGTTTTTAAAATGAAAACTTAACTTGTCATTAGTTTCACTAGAAATGCACAGTTAGTACCTGAGCATTTGTAATCATTTTAAGGTGAATTAATGCACGATATTCGAGTAGGAAAATGATTGTGTCTTCTCAGCATTTAGTCAACCTTGAACCATTTCCTTTTTTTGGCCAAACTTCGATCATTATTGTATTCAATTTAGCCTGGCTCATTGTATGGTGCAAAGAGGTTTTGTGTCATCGATATGCATCAATGTGTTGAACCGTGCTGAGCCACCAACACCACATCAATACAATATATTCCCATATGCTACCCACACACATCATAAAAACAGAGTCAATATTCCATTATTATTATTATCATTATTATCGCCATCAACAACAATATTGCTTGTAACCTTTATCTTTAAAACGAAGGCACAGAGAAATCGATTGACCCAGTAAACACTATTTTTATATTACAATATTTGCTTCCCTTTTGCTTGTTAACCTGAAAGGTAAAAACACATTTTCAAGGTGAACTCTCTCTCTCTCTCTTCTCTCTCTAAACATTTCAACAATAATCATTGATCATAATTATAAAGTGTCTTTCAAGTGCAACAAGGAAACTAAACTTGAACCTCAAGTTGACAAAAGAACCACAGGAGTTCAACGTGCCAACACACAACATCGTTGTTTCTTTAAAACTACATTTTCTTTTTTCGTAACATAATCTTGATTAATTTTCCATTTTTTAGAGAAAAAAAATTCTCACCAATCAAATTCCATCACGAATGAACATTTTTATCAGAATTTCAATTTTACAATTTCTCCCAAATTGCTTTACCTTGTCACCCAATGTTTAGAAATGAACATTTTGCAAAAGTAAACAGATTGTATTGAAATGGTGAAACCACAGCATAACCTCCTTACATGAACACAATGACAATGATACTAAATAAATCACCAACTCTCTCCTACTCTTTACCTTTACCTTTGAGTAGCTCAAAAGAGCCAAAACCAATTCTAATAGAGTAACTTGCCAAAGGTAATATTTGATAATAAATTATCAATTGACGCTCCAAAACGAGATAAAGGGCAAGAAAGAGAGAGAAAAAAAGGAGAGAAAAAATATATCAAATAGTTATTCTTGACATGAGTATAAACTGGGATAAAGTGGAAAAGGATAAATATTTTTTTCTTTACATTATTTTGTCCAACACTGAAAAGTGGTAAAAAAGGGCAACAATATTGTTCTGTTCCGGTTGAAAATTGAGAAAAGGTAAATCGGCTTCCATTGGCACCTTTGTCATGCATTGATATTATTTTGCATTTCAATCGATTGAACAAGCCAACCAATGTGATATTAAAAGAAACGATTAAGAACCAATGTAACAAGAAATATGTAAAGAGAGCAAAAAAAATGCATTTCCAAACTCACTGCTCTTTTGGTGCCAATATTGAGGTGAAATTGTTTCTCTTTCCAATCTTTAAAGGTAAGCGAAAAATGAGACTCGAAAATTGGCCACAATGGACACACTAAAAGAAAAGCGAAAAGAGAGTAAAAAACTGAGTCGCACTTTTACGGCTGAACAAAAAGCGAAACCAAAGCATCTCTGAGAGAATCGAAAAAAAAGGTAAAAAATTTTGAACCAATGTATTTATAAATATGGAAGTTTGAAAATTGATTTTACCGGAAAAGGTGTTGAGAAGAGAGGCAAAAGAGGATAATGTTTACGGTCCAAAAAAGTGGGTAAAGTGTAAGTAGGAAAATAATGCGCCAAAAAATGTCTTCTGTTACGCTTGTCCAATCTTTCATTATCAATAAGATGAAGGAATATTTTTCTTCTTCTTTTCTCTCTATCTTCTTCATTCTCAGTGTCCTTTGCCTCTTTCATTTATTCCTCGAATTTCCTTTTTATTCTCAAAAAATTGACCTTTTAAAGCTTTAAATTTCTCCGTCTCTTCGGGCCACCTTCCGTTTTAGAGTACAAAAACGTCTAAACTAATCGGGCCAATATATATTTACTAATAGAGCATCTTTCAAGTGGATCCTTCATTACAATGTACAGTCTCGAGTATTTATCTTTTTTCACTTCATCTTCGCACTCAACTCACTTATCTTTATATATCTTCTTCACTATTAATATTTAGTCGTCGCTATTCATCCCAAGTGTACTCTTTTTGTTGTAGCCTTTGAATAAATAGATAAATGATTAACTTGAATTTCGATAAACTCGACTCTTTATCGAGGTCACTTGCGATGTTACACCTTGAACAAAGACTTAACAAATGCTATTATTGCATGTTTATTACCTTTCAACTTTTCCTTTTTTTGCGCTTCATTACAGCTTCTTTGTTTGATAAAATTTGTTTTCATTTTTCTTAACAACTGAATGTCGCTGAAAGTGTCAAAGACAATTAGAGTTGATTTACTTTTTCCTTTCCGTAAATGAAACATTTTCTCATTTTCGAGGTTTGCTTTAATGTAACTTGCGATAAACTTGTTTATGTTAAACTTTGATATAAATGGATTTATCATTGGTTCAAATCGTTACTAAGTGTTACCAGATGACAATATTTTTATTTCATTGTTTCAATGTTGATTCAATCATGTTGTTTATCAAAAATTTTTTATCCAATATAAATTGCTAAATTGATAAATTTTAATCTAAATTGAAACTACCAAAATGATAGCTTAGACAAATCACGATGAATTCAGAGTTAGAAGAAAAATTTGACAATGTAACAAGTTGGTTCATCAGGTAACATTTATTGTATTCTTTGGTAATGATTTTAGAAAAAGGTTCAAGTCTAGAGTTTGAATTCTACATCAGCCATGATTGAAACACAGCCGATTTCAGCATCTCTGTAATACCAGCGCATGACCAACCCATATTTACCCTGAAAAATTTGAGAAAGAAAAAATTCAGTTAATTCTGTTTGGAGCAGAAAAGGCAAATCATCTTATTTAGCTCAATGTTACAAACTTTTGCTATTCAAGTTTCAAATAAACAGAATTGCTTTTAAAGTTTTGGGCAAAACCAGACACTTCTTAATTAGAGTTTGCAATATTGAATCTTTAATTGAAATAACTTACCGAAGCAGCAAATTGAAGGGCTGCTGACATAACATGTCCGATATCTTTGAGTGGAATCGGATAAGAGACGTTTCCCATGTAACGTCCAACTTGCATTTTGCAACTTGGTGGCACCTTGAGTTGAGCAGCAAAAGTATTGGCCAAATTTTTATATGAATCAACAAAATAGCAAAAAGAACCAGAACAGCTTCCAACATCGCTCCTACATGGAATTTTGACACTTGCTTCAACACCAAGAATTGAAAAGTACCTTCTGAATTCAGAGCTCATTGTAACTTCTTCGTCTAAAGGATCGAGTAGACTGAAGTCAACCTCAGCTTCGATTGAATTGTTGCCATCAACGAACACTTTGTCACCTTTTACATTGAACTTGCGCAAAACCAATGATCTATCAGCTTGACCACAATCTTCCCAGTTAATGGCACCAAAGGTGAGCAATGGAAGTAAACAGTAGATGATTAACTGAAACATGATACAGAATTTTTTCCTAAGCAACTCAAGTTTGCAGATGCAATGACTCAACTGAAGCAACAGCAACAATAAATGAATCACATTGTGGTTAGTTTTATACTAATTTTAGGATTCATCTTTGATTAAATAATCACGGCTTTTCAGCAGTTAATCTTTCATTTCTCTGATATTTCCACCATTTTTCCAATAAAATAATCTAAAAGCAGGAGATGAATATAAAGATAATATTTTCAACGACCTTGCGAAAATTTTATTTCTTTTCAATAAATTCTTGAATATATGAACAGAATTGTATCATTGATAATAATTTTTAAGTGTTGATACTCTATGATGTATCTTCTGTTGCATCATGAATTAGTCCAGTTTTCCAGCGATTCAATCTTGAAACAATGTACCCGTTGACTGAATAGCTTTTCAACTGGGCTAACACATTGTCTTGTCCGATCTGAAATGAGATTAATGCGAATCTTGTAAACAATAGAGTTCATATTAAGTCTATTTCGTTCTCTAAATAAATTGAATTTGATTTTAAAGATATGATTAATTTTCGTAAAATAATGAAGATAATAAAGCTCAGTGCAAAAGTATCGGGAAAATTCATTTTAATTAACAATCACAACGATTTAACTGTATTTATCAGGATTTCGAGTACAAACACAAATCGATAACTCACTCTGACACGCTAATTTGAATAGAAATGTCCAATTAAAATTTTTTCTGTTAATTAGTTTATTGCCATATTGCAACCATTAACACTGAAAAAATCATAAATCATTGTGGCCAAACTAAAAGGATTCTAAAGAAAATTTTAATATAGCCTGAAAGCCGTGATTAAACTTCATCCACGAAAAATATTCAGAGTTTTTTCGGAATTAGCGTCCAAACAGGCTGGGAGAAAAAATGCAGAATCCGTATCTCTTACTATTGACTTAGGGGGAAAAACGTTTTGGTGATTCAGGTTGATGGTTTATTGTTGCATTAGAAGGATAAGTAAATCAGTTTGTACCAGCACAGCCAACAAAGGTTCAAATCTCAACACAAATTTGTGTTTTTCTCATTGACAATAGTTTTTCATCAATAATTTGAGTCTCTGATTTATCTGAAATTTGGATTGGATTGTATTCAGTGAAAGAAATTTACGATCAGTTATGATCTGGCTCAGCTTGTTAAGTTAATTGATTGAGTAATTAATATCTCACAATGGAAATAAAGCTGTCTTGAGATATTCATTTTTCAGTTCATTTAAACTTGGAAAATATAAACTCAGGTCTGATTGATCTTCAGTAATGAAACTAAATTATGATCGTGAAATAATCGTTTGATTCAGATTCAGAAGTGATTTTAGCATTCTTTACGAATTTCTATTTCTCATCTCATAGTGGAAGCAAATCTGAGGATAAAATAAAATAATTGGGAATTAAGCCCATTTTAGCTTCGAAATAAAAAGATTATTTCACGATCATAATTTAGTTTACTCTACTAAGGGATGAGATGTAAAGTAATACAAAGTGATGCCATTCAGTATAAAATCTACCAATTACTTATTCAGATCTTTGATGAGAACAATTCACTTTAACCAAATTTGAGCCCAATTATTGAAGGCACAAGGTGAAGGCACAAATATTAGAGGCTCAAAAATATGAGAGAAACGCTCATCAAACACTGAAAAATTTTCTTAATTGTTGATACAATACCAAATTACACATAAATTAAATTAACTTACTGTTGACCATTTATATCGAAATTAAAGGAAAAGGAAAGAGCTAAGGAAAAGTAAGGGAAAACTAAAGGGTGACTGTTAATGACAAACTGTAAAAGGAAAAGAGACAGTTAGTGGAGAGATCCCTTTCATACTGAAGAGCAATTGGACGTGAGCTTTTATTATTCAAGTTTACATGAACTGTAAAATGAATAACTCAAGAAATACACATGTACTTGTTTCCACAATGACTGATTCAGTTCATTTAAACTTGCACTCCTAAATATCTCATATTCAGGCCATTATCATTGAAAAAACAGAGACATAAATTCAAGTTTGCGTGGACTGAATCATGAATATCTTGTGATGAAAACAAGACCGCCATTGAAATCTGGTCTTATTCATCCCCAAATAATCAATGAAACTTAATCATGATCTTTGAATCATCTTTTTATTTTGAAGCTGGAATTCATTTCCCGATTATTTTGTTCAAAGATTTAGACTTTGTTCCACTTGACTCATATTCAAAATGGTTTCAGCATTCTTTAGGAATTCTTACTTGAGCCATTCTTTTACATTTTTAGCTTCCCCTAACTTCTGGACTTCAACTAGCTTATATGGTACAAAACTTTTTTTAGGCTTTACATCACACTGTTTGTGTTTACTTTAACCAATTTTACGAACGACTGTGAGTCATCTTCTGTCACTCAATTCATGATACGAACAATGGATACTGTTTTGATCGACTCTACTTTTAGCACTTCCAACCAAACTAGCTGACCAAAAAAATTGATTCAATAAAATGCAAGCTCACTTCAACTTCATATTTTCCTCAAACCATTCCGACTATTTGATTAAACAAGGCATTTCTTTGAAGTATGGCCAGCCCATAACGAAAAAGCGGATGCAGTAAAGGTTCTTATTTCTCAAGATCAACAAAGAAAATCAAGAAAACCCAAAGAAAGATAACGAAAAAATGAAAACTAAATGTGAAGAGAAATATAAACGAATCCAATCAAAACAATTATCATGTTAATCTAAAATTTAAATTGGTATATTTGATTGAAAAATGTGTATTTTTCTGCTGAAAAAATGGTGTTGACTATTTATTTTCTTTTTATCCATTTACCTATAGTCAATAGCTTTCATTATGCTTTCACCTCTGAACCCAATTATTTTTGTCAACCTTTTGTTTCCAATTAGAGCAAAGGTTCCATTGATTTTTAGTCATTCATTTATTTGAGTTCTTGGAAATATCTATCAAATAAAATTTTATTAATCATATTCCCTGCATATGCAACTCCCTCATTAATCACATCGATGAAATTGATTGTATGTTTGCAACAATAACTAAATGCAATGTATCTATTTACCAAACAAATGAGTCAACTTTTATGAATCACAGCCAACCCTTGTATTACGCATACTTTAGACTTGCAAAAAAGGAAGCAAAACTTATTACTCAGACCTTCGTCAGAAATGTGACTCATACATGGTAATTCTGTTCTTTTGAATGAAAAAATAATATAAAATTCATATTTGATTTTCAAGATGGGAATGGGAGCAATACAAATCATTATTGGTCAATATTAAGTATTATCTTTAAGAATCAAAGTAGATTTGTCAATCGTTACAAAATCGAAGGACTTTCAGCACTTATAAGTATTAAATTTGCTGCTGTAAATTATGTGTTCAATTACACAGAAATTTAGGTGCATTTAGATCATGAGTGTAAAATGTTTCGAGTACTTTGGAATGCAAGAAAACTTGGATAAAATCAAAGGAAAGAGCAAAAAGTCCACAAGTCAAAAGTTAGATATTTAACGAATGCTGAAATGAACCTCAGAAAAAGGAAATGCCCGTCTAGAAAGATTGTCTCGAAATTAGAAGTGAAGCCACCGAAATATAGCAAATAACTCAAGTACAATGATTTTCTGCTAAAATCGATACTTGAAATGATCAAAGGTCCAAGATCTTGTTTCTGGATACAATTAGTAATCAATTATTTCAACTTATTTGAACAGCATAGAGAGCTGTTGCGTAAAAGCCATTTACTCGCTAATTGCTAGTGTCCAAAAGTTACATAAAAATTAAGGATGGATTCAGAAGTTGAAATCGAAGCAAAATTGTATTCGACTTTCTTCATAAGATACTATAACAGCACAAAAGTAAGTACAAAAATACAGTAAGAGCTGTGGTATCAGACATCAATCGATGAAAACCAAAAATATTTGTTCTTTAACTAATCCGGAAAAAGTACTCAGTGCAACAATTTGTGTCACAAATGTTAGTTTTAACTTTGATTTTTGGTTTTCGAAGTGAAGAATCTTCGTTTTTAGTTTTTCCCTTACAACTTGACTCCATTTCAATGAATTATTTTAGTTTCGATTCTAACCAAAATTTCGCATTTTCAATATTTTCTAGTTTTTACTTTACAAAGTGATAATTATTGTTGGACTGTTTCGAAAGGTCTTTCCATGAACATGAAGTGATAATATTATAATCACTTGAAAATAATATTTTGAAAAATAACCAGATTCTAAGATAGCAATATCATCTTGCATTCAACCATCAGCTTTCCTCAGATTGAAGCAAGTTGAAACTCACATGAAAATCTATAAACCTTAAGACCAACAAGAGCGCATTTTAGGATAAAATATGGAATTAATCAGACACCCAGCAATCAACAGTTTCAACGTTAACATAGCGCCATTTAGCAGCAAGTTGAAAGCTTGAAGCTTCACTTTTAGAAGATTTATAAGCATAAGAATAAAGGGAAAGCTTGAGGCGTCATTATTATCATCATTAAAGCCATTCAGTTCATGAAATTATCTTGTTCGAAGGTAATGATGATATGTGGTGGGTGATTCTTTGATTAAACGAAAAGTGGTCAACATGGAACAAGAAAAGTTAACTTTTCTCTTTACCTCAACATTACCATTTAATGATAATACCTTGCAGGTAACTCGAATAGCATTTACTTGTTGAAAATGTTGCTTTTCTTATTCACGTTGTGTGAGGTTTTCTTGTACAAACCTTTAATAATCATTATTCATTATTCATTATCATTATTACTTTTCACTTCTAATTTTGTTTTATCACATTTACCTTGTTATGATAATTTGATAGGAATCACCAATCATTGGTGTGTTAATCACATAATAAATGTTAACATCGTAACCAAATCGTGATGGAAAACAATTTTCCCCATTTTTAGGTGATTTGCCTTTACCGACCTTTACGATCAGATATTTTCTTCCAGAGTTTCCATCATTTTGCAAGTGTTGCCATTAACTTTAATTTTGCACTTCAACAACACCAAGCCCAAGCCGACATTAGATTACACCTAAGCTCATTATGACCTCAGGTCTTAATACAGTAAGGCTACAAACGTATAGAAGAAGAAAAATGTTACTCAACACAAAAAATAGAAAACAATCTTTTCTCTCTTCTCAATCAATTTCATCGATCATCTTCATTACTCATTGAACTCTAGAGACGTGCTTAGTGCACAGAAAACGATGAAACGCCACTTAACATGGACACACACTTCGAGACTTGGGTGGCCTTGGTTTTCCCTTTTAATCACCTTTTCTTTGTGCTTTTACAGTTTAAATTTGATTAATTTTTTGCGCCTTACTTTGACTGTTTCATTTACCTTTGTACAAAGTCAAGTAAAAGGTTCATTTAAACTCATAATGATCACAATTACCGTTAAAAAGATTACGATTAACTAACCTCAATTACCTTTACCGGTACAAAGAATCACTTAACTGTTATTTTCCAAGTAACATTATTAATCAGTTATCACCATCCATATCAAATTAAAAGGAAAACAAAATGATATTGTGATGAGATTTTTGTGTTTCACGCTTTTTCATCACGAATTGATGCTTCACTTTTAATTGTTATTTCAATATTTCAAAACATTCAAATCTCTGGAATTAGTTTTTTCTCGTTTCTAGTTTACAGTCATATACAAATCCTGGTCTTTCATAGCATTGATCTAATTCATTTCTGTGTTTGTTTGAATAAACGAATTTCCATATTTCCTATTCTTCATGTTCCTCCATTTTCGTTCAAATTAATTACCATTCCATTTCCAATTCAACACTATTGACTATATTGAAATTGGCTCAATATGACTAATTTCACCCATAAATGGATATAAATTAAAGCTAGTAAACTAACTCTATAAACCCAGATCTTGTCACAAATTTTTGGGCGTAAATATAGAATGGTGCGTTTCTTATCGCATCACACCACCAGTTAAATTCATTTCATCATTTTTTTGTCAAAAAATCAATTTCGAATGTTAATCAAATTAGCCAAATTATCAATTTCTTGTCGAGTTATCGCTAAGGAATGCACATCGACTTTTGATAATATTTTAAAAAGAGTTTCTAGGAAAAAACTGTTGATGTGTCAATTGAAATTGTTTTTAAAATTGATGAAAAATCGCCTTCCATTGCCAAAGATAACTTGAAAATATTGCTTCAGATCAACAGGTTGTACAAATTATCTCAATTTAATGCGTTTTTGTTTTCCATTTTTTGTTTCGTACCTTGTTATTGTTGTTGAAATTTTCACCGTCTTAACCAATTTAAAGACAATTAATTACCCGAAAAAAAGGAAAATGAAAAAAAGGTAAGAATCGGGAATCACGAAGTTTACCTTTTCTTGTATTTTTCATCTCTTTACTGAGGAACCTTCATCATTTACCAATAATGATGATGATTGCTGATTAACTGATTATAATGAATGATAATGCATTTGAATGTCACGATTTGTTTACAAGTTTAGTGAAAACTCGCTCAACACCCTTTGGTGTGTGTTTAACTGGTCAAGAAAACGATAAGTTGCTGATTCGTTTTAAATATCAATCTTATCTTGTTTACTCAATTTCAAATCAAGTAAACATGATTGATATTATTCAGAGAGAAAAAGTTGAGAAAAATTAATAACTTCATGCTTACATTTGATCATTATTTGCATCATTATTTTCAATTCTCATTTCTTCTTCTTACCTTGTTTTGCTATTAATAGCAAGCTCAAGATAATTGCCGATTGCTGAATCGTAAGAAAATATTGACCTTTTTTCAATTAATGTCAACTCATGAAGAGAGCAACAACTTGTTACAATATAACAATGCAAAATATTGCATAAAATTATCACTGATAACAACACCTCAACCTGGAATCAGATTGTTACTCATTCAAAACAACTCATTGTTATGAAAGTATTTTTTAGTTGATTACACAAACTCAGTCAACTATCAAAAGATCATGAAATCATCAAAATATTTATCGATAACCAGAGATGTAAATGAATATCAAAATACAAATCACTCTTAACTTGGCTTTTTCTTTAATGAGTTACTGATAGAACTTTTGAGATCTTCATATTCAAATAAGATGATTTTTCGCACAGAAAATAAGTTAACCGTTAAATATTAGTTGACTGACTTGAAGCATTTCGATGAAACAAGAAAATGCCGAAAATGCTCCTTATCATTTCTAGAGCTTTTTCTTACCTGAACTCAGTTGAAGGGTAGAGTTTGATTTTAGATCAAACTCAATTGCAATCAACTCAAGATCAATTGCATTTTTGTATCCAGATGAGGTTCAATCCATATTGTTTAATATCATGCAAATACAACAATGCAACTAACTTCAAGGTTTTGGCTTCGATTAATGTTGTTGATTGCACTGATTTACTTTCATCAAAACAATGTGTCATTGAAAAATCAGCCTTACCTGTGTTGATAATGCATCATTAAAGGGGAGATGGAAGCTATCTGATGAAATCGTTACTCACATCCTAGAGTTATATTGGTATTTAAAGAGCATCTTTAATGAACAAAGTTACAGTCATCATTCAGTGTTTCAATTGTTTAATTATAACACTAAAGCATTCCTGTGTTTACACTTGAATCTGAATCAATTTCATCATTAAAGTTTCAAATCAATCATAAAGTCTCTCATCATGATTCTCAATTTATTTGTTTACTGTTTACTTCCAGCATTAATCTCTTGTGCTGTCAACTGGGAAGATTGTGGTCAAGCTGATAGATCGCTGGTCTTTCACAAGATAAACTTTAAAAGTGATGCAATCGTCATCGATGGTCATAAACCGATCGAAGCTGAAGTCGACTTTTCTGTACTCGATCCATTCGACTATGAGGTTACAATGAGCGCTGAACTGAGGCGATACTTTTCAATTCTCGGTATCAAATCAAGTGTTAAAATACCTTGTATTAATGATGCTGGAAGCTGCTCTGGTCCATTTTGCTATTTCGTCCAATCCTATTCAAACCTGGCTCGTTCCTTTGCTGATCAACTTCATGTGCCATTCGACTGTGCGATAGAGAAAGGCCGTTATAAAGGCAACATCACTTACCCTATACCGACCAACGTCTTCAATAAAATTCCTACTGTGATATCAAATAATCTCTCAGTAAGTCTTTTATTGTCAGTTATGAATAAGCTCATTATATTTCTAAATCTTATTATATATTCTCTTAATTTTACAGGGTAAATATGAGCTCGTAATTCGTTGGTACTTTGGAGACCAAGAAGCCGGTTGTCTTGCAATTGGATCTGCATTACAAATTAATCCTTAAATTATTTTTTTTTCTATTCTTTGCCAAAATATCTCACTCACTTTAACTGAACATATCACAAAATATATTTTATTAATTTGCACCGAGTTGCTGTAAATTTTTAATAAAAAGTACAAATAATTTTTATCTGCAAAACTTTGATTCTGAGTTTATTTTCATAATAACGGTTTGCTTCAAAATCAATTTGCATTGCCAAAAATATTCCCATTTGTTCGTAAGCAACGAAAAGAACAAACCTTTTGTTTTTCTCCATATTATCTTCAAAATGGCCTGAATTTATGAATGTCCAATCATTTCCTTTATATGGCTCTATCTGATTATCATTAGTTCAGATCAAAGGAGTATCTCATCTCAGAAAGAAAAGGTGAAAACCGCAACGATGTCGAGCACGCATTTTGTCTTCAAAGACACAAACTTGAAATTGACTCATTGATTCGACAAATATTTTTAATTCAGGACTTTCAGATTAGATTGTTTTAAATGCAATTTTCATGCTAAAATCATCTAATTAACATGATCAACATTTTCTTAGAACTCAATCCATGAACCATTTCAATTTGGTTAGCAATCAATGGTTGAATAATGATTTATGATGAATCAATGATTAAACTACTGAAGTTTATTTAAATCTTCGTACACCAAGAAAGTACATGATTGAGCTGTTGAGGAGCTAATGTTTCAATGTCAAAATAGATCAATATTGCAAATTTTAAACTGTTTTTAAATTTAGATCTCATGAAGCAATAAAATTATACAGAAAATAACCTTGATGTGCATCACTTGCTTTGGAAGCAATACTTCTCAGAATGAGATTTATTTTCCTGGAAGCTAAATCAAAAGTGGTTATTCTGTTGAATTTGATAAAGCATTCTAATCTGATAAGTCACATTTAAAACTAATGTGAGTTACTATTTAAACATCATTCAAGTCTAATTCATCTCATAGTTAAAATCGTAGAAATTTCTCCAATTCTAGAACTAAGTTTCAGTGAAAGTTTTCATATAATGTTTCAGTTAATCGTCTTCTGTTTACTTCCATTATTCGTTTCTTGTGCCATCAACTGGGAAGATTGTGGAAACGCTGATAGATCATTTGTCTTCAGAAAGTTGAACTTCAAAGATCAGAATTTGGTCATCGATGGCAAGAGCCCGATTCAAACTGAAGTTGACTTCAGTTTACTTGATCCTGTTGACAAGGAAGTTACATTAAGTGCTGAGCTCAGAAGATACTTTAACATTCTTGGTGCTGAGCAAAGTGTTAAACTTCCTTGCATAAACGACGTTGGAAGCTGTTCCAATAACTTCTGTTATTTGGTTCAATCTTACGAAACCGTGGCTCGAACCATTGCTACTCAACTGAAAGTACCTTTTAACTGCGAGATGAAGTCAGGTCGATATTCAGGAAACATTACTTATCCTGTTCCATTGGATGGATTCAGACCATTGCTTTCCGCTCTTAGCTGGGCAGCTTCGGTAAGTTTCATTCCGTTAACAAAACTCTTTCTAGAGAACAAAGTAAAGATATACAATTTTGTTCACGATATTTCGCCTTTAATTCAATATTTTCATTTAATTTTTGGATTTCAGGGTAAATACGAGTTTATTGTTCGATGGTACTTAGAGGGTAACGAGATTGGATGCCTTGCTGTGTCAGCTGATTTACAAATCGATGTATAACCTTTTTCATCAAACTTCATGTACCATGGATAACAGATAACCGTAATTCAATTTTCAATTCAAGCAAGGCTTAAATGAATGTAAAGACTTGAGCTTCAAAAATGTTGTATATGTTATTCAAAAAAATGATGCTCGTACCCTAAACTGTATCATTATTAATACTCAGCCTCAGATTTTTTGTAAAATCATTTGCAGAAATTAAAAATATGTTCATAAAAACTGATTTTGCTATGCTTACTCGATTTGCATTCTTGAAACTAAATTGCTGCATATTAATTAGCTATAAATTACTGAAAAGAGGAAAATGGACAAAAAAATCCAAGATGACATTTTACCTACACAGTCAGGTTGAATGGCAACTCTAAGAGATGTGTAATTTCAATTTAAAACTTCGTGGCATTTGGATAGACAATGACTCTTTCATTGTCTTATCGAATAGAATCAATGGGAATTTTATTTTGTCAGAATGAAAATTTTGCACCTAACATGATAAAGACCTTTTCCTAGAACTCAATCTCATTTCAATTTTGTATGCAATTCATGAACACGTAATAATTAATTGATTAAAATTGATTGAAACAATTGTCCATTAAGAAAGCTCATTTGTTTCTTTGAGTGACGATGAGTAAGCAAAGAAGCGTAACTTTATGGAAAATGTTATCATGCAATTCGCCACGCGCAAACCTCATCGCACCACATGTACATGACTATGAATATAATTATCTTATATTTATCACTTACTATCAAATCGACAAAACTGATTTCAATGGAACAAGCGATTATCCAACAAAAGATTGAAACATATCAATTGTGATTATTCTGTTGAATTTGATAAAGCATTGATGAATTACATTTAAAACTAATAAGAGCTGTTATTCAATCGTCATTTGAGTCAAATTCACTGGAAAATAAAAAATTCAGCTGAATTGGTAAATCATCTGCAGGGAAAAGTTCTGTATCATGTTTCAGCTAGTCATCTTCTGTTTACTTCCATTACTCATCTCTTGTGTCAACTACGAAGACTGTGGTCAAGCTGATAGATCTTTGGTTTTCCGAAAGTTGAATTTTGCAAATCAGTCTTTACTCATCGATGGCGTCAATCCAATTCGAGCTGAAGTTGACTTCAGTCTACTTGATCCTGTAGACAATGAGGTTACATTGAGTGCTGAACTCATAAGATACTTTACGATTCTTGGATACGAAACCAGCGTTTCTCTTCCCTGCATCAACGATGTTGGAAGCTGTTCCAATAACTTTTGTTACATGGTTCAATCCTACGAAACCTTGGCTCGCTCCTTTGCAACTCAATTGAAGGTACCTTTTGACTGTTTGATGAAACCAGGTCGATATTCAGGCAACGTTACTTATCCAGTTCCCATTGAAGGGTTTAGACCATTGCTCTCTGCGCTTAGTTGGGCAGCTTCGGTAAGATTTACTCTATTAATGATTTTAACTCTTTCTAATTGTCATTTGACCCTAGGAAGGATTTAAGCTTCAATTCATTTCAAGACTGATATTCTCAGTGTTATAATGCAACACCTAATTGAATATTTTTTTATTTCCAGGGTAAATATGAGCTAACCATACGATGGACCTCAAATGATATTGAGATTGGCTGTCTTGCTGTTACAGCTGATGTAGAGATCAATGCATAATTGTAATCCCTCCTCACTCACCACAATTTCATTACTCACATGCTGATGAATAACAGTTAAATGTAATTCAAGGCGAATCTCGATTAAATAAGCTTGTGATACAAACACAATAAAGTTGCAATAAATTATCAGAATCATAATTCAGTTATCAAACTACTTTTATAACACTTTTGTTTAAAAGTTTGGACTTTGATCGTGGTTTGAGGATGATCGCATGATGATAAATGCTTCATACAATATTCATCCTAAACTTTCGATTGTGGTTCAATAAATTCTGACTCTTTAGTCGATTTGGCTATTTGGCCTTTGGTTTTGCAATAATATTTTATATAATATTGTACATGGACATTTGTCATCGCGATTGTTCAGAGATGTGTTGATTTTTATGATAGAAAGATAATGATGATTATAATTTAATGATAATAATGATTTAAATTGGATAAAAAGTAACTCTTTCATTATCTTATAACTGGTTGAATCCTCACTCGAATTTTATTTATCAGCAGAATTGAAATCTTTGTTCATCCCTTGTTTTGAATAAATATTTCTCAGAATGAGATTTGTTTTCCTGCAATCTAGTTTTTAGATTTAAATCACATCGAACAATATAATTATGAACACCAATATCTTTATATTCATCAATCGATAAGATTGATTCTATTTAAACTTGAACCAATTGTTATTATTCTGGTGAATCTGGTTGCAATATTTAAGACTGATAAGAATTGTTATTTAACCCTCATTTGACGAAAGACTAAATCATCTGCTAGCTCAAAGCCTCAGATTAAATAAGTAAAGGAGTGGTGCAAAAAATCGAACTTTCGAGTTTAATTTGGTAGCTCAATTAGGAAAGTAGAGGAGAAACGCTTCTAGGTTTTTTACTTTTCTTTTCTTGCTATAACCAAAATTCAATCACAATTTGATGATGATGATAATTTGATAAAAAGCGAGAGATGAAATATTTTTGAAATTTGATCAAAAAAGACCTGAAAGAAAAGGAGAGAAAAAAAGAAAGTGATGAAAGTTTAAATTGTGAAAGTGAATTCAATCTTTTACGCTTCTTCTCAATGAATCAAAACAATTTTAGTTTAGACATTTCGATTAAAATTTACAGTTGAATTCAACCAAAGATGAATATGTATTAATTCAGAGAAATGAACGTAGAATGAATTTCATATAAACTGTTTTCTTACATTTTACTTGATTTTACAGATATCTTATGCATCCACATCAACTGCCCTCTCTGACAAGAAGAGGTATGAATTTTTTGCACGAACTGTTCCACCAGACAAATACCAGGCCAGAGCATTAGTTGATTTCATCGAGCATTTCAACTGGACATATGTGAGCCTGATAAGCTCGGAGGGACAGTACGGTGAGTCTGGAAGCAGTGCCTTTCGAACCCATGCTCGAATGAGAAACATTTGTTTTGCTATACAAGAAAAGGTTGTCCAATCTGCCAATGATACGGAATATGATCGAATCATTGAGAGTCTTAAGCGCAAGGGTAAATATGAGTAAGTTAGTCATTCGATGGTTTCTGCAAGATGACGAGATTGGATGTCTTGCTGTTTCATCTAGCGTGGAGGTCCATTTATAATCGTTTTTTATCACACATTACTTATCATACTTAAATGTATTGCATCAACTCACATGTTGCCGAATAATATGTAACTTCAATTCAAGTCAAATCTCGATTAAATAAGCTTGTGATACAAACACAATAAAGTTTCAATCAACTAATTGATTTGGGTAATAAGATCATTGAATCCTGTTTGGTGCGACTAAAGATTGATAGTTATTCTTCAGGATAAACTTCTTTAATTCTATCAGAATAATAAGATTTGATTCATCAGAAATATGACTAGGCTATGATTTGTACACTATTTAAAGTCAATGTATCAAATTTTTGTGTCGAAATTGTGGCCAAACTGAGTGGGTTCTAAGAGAAATAATTAAAAAATAGAGAAGCTCCTCTCAGGATCCAGATCTCGGAGAGATTCATGAAAATAGGAGACGACAGAGAGATTCACTATATTGTCCTAAATGTACCGTATTCAATGACATTGAGTGAGTGCTAAAACTTGTTGATGATTCAGGTTGATGTTTCATTATTGGTTAAGGATTTTATGCAAAACTTTTCCTTTCAAGCAAAGTTTAAACAGTTTTCTGTAAAAAATCTGGTGTCTCAACTGTCTCAAAAAAGGATATCGAAGTTTCAATTTTGTCAAAACTGCCGATCAGAAATAGACTTAATTTTATGAACCTACAATCAACAATTCGATTTGAATTATGACTAAATTTTCGGTGCCATTACCTTATATGGTTCGTTAAATTGTGAATCTTCGGCTATTGTTCTTTGCTTTCAAGATAATGTTGCATGGAAATTGCTCAGAGAGATGAAAATACATTGATTTAAAGAAATAATGATAATGTAACGATAATAATGATTTAAATTGGATAAAAAGTAACTCTTCTATTATTTTACCATTGAATGAATCACCATTAGAATATAAATACTACATCAGTACCAAAACTTTGAACAAAGGAACTTGAATCAATCATGATTATTCTATTGAATCTGATGAACCGTATATAAAACAAATAAGAGTTGTTATTAAACCCTCATTCAAGCCTAACTCATCTCATAGCTAAAGTCCTCCAATTTTAAATTTCGTTGAAAAAGTTCTGCATAATGTTTCAGTTAATCGTATTCTGTTTACTTCCATTATGCATCTCCTGTGCCATCAGCTGGGAAGACTGTGGAAAAGCTGATAGATCTTTGGTTTTTAGGAAGTTGAACTTCAAGAGGGAAAATTTAGTTATCGATGGAAGGAGTCCGATTGAATTTGGAATTGACTTCAGTTTACTTGATCCAATGGTCAAAGAAGTTACAATGAGTTCTGAGTTGAGAAGACACTTTAACATTTTTGGTTATAAAAACAGCGTTTTGCTTCCTTGTATCAACGACGTTGGAAGCTGTTCTAACAATTTCTGCCATATGGTCGCTTCGAACGCAATTTTTGCTCGTGCCGTCGCTACTCAATTAAAAGTGCCTTTTGATTGTTTAATGAAGTCAGGTCGATATGCAGGCCATGTTACTTATCCAGTTCCATTGGATGGATTCAAACCATTACTTTCTGCTTTTAGTTGGGCAGCTTCGGTAAGATTCATTTCATTAATAATCGCTACTCTTGTCAATTGTGATTGGGTCAAAGTAAAAAATACAAACCTAAATTAAATCCACAATTGATATTCTCTATGTTATATTTCACCACTTCAGCGAATATTCATTTTCTCATCTTTTCATTTTCAGGGTAACTATGAGCTTATTGTTCGATGGTACTTAGAGGGTGCCGAGATTGGATGTCTTGCTCTTTCAGCTGATTTACAAATCGATTTATAACCTTTTCCACTTCACCTCATTTGCCTCACTAACTTACATGTCGGTGAATAGCAAGTAACTGTACAAGACAAATCTCAAAAATCTCGTGGAATAAACACAATAAAGTTTCCAATCAATGCAATCAGATAATTGAATCCAGTTTGTTGTGATAAGATGGATAGTTGGTGGTTCTGAATAAAATGACTTGATTCTACCAGAATTATGGTATCTGATGAATCAGTTTGAATCTGTGCTTAAAGAAAGACTTTTCTACTAGAAATTGTATTCAATGAAAAAAAATTGTAATCATCCATGATCGATCGTCTGCTTGTAGAGTCAACTGTTGAATACAATGTAAACATTTTACTCGTTTCATGTCAGCAATCAAGATATTTAAAGTACAAAGTTGAAAGGCAAATGTAACTCACAGAGTTAATTTAATTAGCGCATTTTCACGTTTTATCAATTTCAACAGTTTCCTCCATTAATTTTGAACCATTATAAAGGAGAAGAAGAAAAAAGTAAATCAATTTGCATATAATCATAGAACCCTTGGAACTGAATGAACAGCAAACCATAAAAAATAGATTAATGTGAGCTCGTTATCCAAGAGTGTTCAGAGTCTATTTAGTGTGTGATTACCTGTGATTTAAAAGCCGGTTCAATCACGATCATGATTGCTGTTACATAAGTGGATACAATTAATGATAAGGTGAGCAGTAAAAAGCCCGGAGGAAAGTTTTACCTTAACTTTTACCATTAGAACAAGAAAAGCTTTTTGTTTTGTTTCAATGAATTGTCAAATTGAAGCTCAACATTATCTCAAGCTTAGCCACTCAGATTGACTTGAAGTGTCAAGAGCAAGAGACTACAATGGGAACAAGAGCAAGAAAAACCAGAAAAGAGGAAACAATCATTTTTCATTTCTCATTCACTGTGTCAATCCATTTCCTTATTAAACCAAATCAAGTGAGTTTGATATATCTTTGCACATTACAATGATATTCATATCGATGGATGCCTAAGATGGACAGTCAACTTAGCGTTTCTTAAATGAACATTTCAAACAAATTATTTCATTCCATTTCCACTTGGCTCTTTATCATCTTCAGTCTTTTGTCCTTGAGTGAGTAAAGTTACAAGAATAACAAAAAAAATGTTGCCAAATTTTACCATCAAAAATTAAGGTGTGTAAATTGACCAGGACAAGAAGATGATGATTAGGAGAAGAGTGTGAGAGAGAAAGAAAGAGAGACGAGTTTCCAGGTAAAAATGAAAAGATTTTAAGTTGACAGTAATCCTCATTTTCCTCTCACCTTTTGTATGATAACAAGCCAGTAGTTGATATAGAGATGAGTTAACACCGTCCATAAGATGTTAATCATGTAATACCTTCAACATTTCAACGTTAACCGCATTTATTGACATCTATTTTATCCTTCTCATTTGACTTAAATGAATACTTCAAACTTTGAGCATTGAACTTGATCCTTTTCCTTCCCTTTCCCGACATTGTAACATTTTTCATCTTTACACCCTTCAAGTGGACTCACAGTTAACCCATGTTTTAACAAGCTTAATCATTTCATTCAAATTTTATTTCAACAGTGATTCAATCGCCCTTGTAATGGCTGTCACTTTTGACGCAAATTTTAAACAAATCTCATTACATGGTCAAGTTCAATACCTTTGCCATTTCCAAGTAAAAAAGTTACGTCCCATTGCCAGAGTCTTCTGAAAAGTCTTTCATTTCGA